TTAATGATGTCCGAAAAGGGTACTCTCCTATACTGTGAATTATTGTCTATACATTCTCTTGAGAAATTACAAGATTTTAAATATTTTTCAAAGACTGCTTTGTGATTAAATTCAAATGCTTTTCAAGGACAAAAAAATGGAATATAAGCCATTATTGAGGCTAAAAGCAATTTCAAGTACTTCTCAAGGCCATAAACTGAATTTGTGAAAAATGACAAAGTCACAATAATTCATCTCATTAAAGGTGCTTATATGAGTAAAAATGCCAGGAAAGTGCACAGTGACGACAGAAGCAGGCCATGGCCATATATCCAGATGCACTGTGTCTGTACATAATAACAATATGCACTGTATATGTGCATAATAAAAGTCATCATATTGATAATATGGAAGACATTTAATAAGTTACAACAATGTTATTTCTAAGGTTTTTAAAATAATCTTAACGAAATAAAATTTAAATCACAAATCTATCTTTTAAATAATACATACATGCAATACAAATTTAACTAATTGAAAAAAAAAATTACCCCTGGTTTTACAAGTCCTAATTGTTTGTATTTACATATCACTTTATAGGATAGAGCCTGAAAAATAAGGTTAAAAAAAGACATATCTCGCAAGTATAACTCATATAATCATATATGCCATATTAAAAATCCATCAGGTGAATATTACTCTAAATTATCATTCCATCTTAGTAATAATATCTAAAATGAATACTTTTATACAATCTTATTTTGCAAATTTCAAAATTTCTATATAAAAAATCACCTTCATATAGTTTATTATATTAATATGTCATATCACTGTTCACATTCTGATTACCAATCTATTTATGTCATATTTTATCATAACAATGACCTACCTGAGTCATGTTTTCTGCATCTATGGCATTTTTAAGAACAAAAGCTCTTCTACTGATGTTCAGGCTGACAAATCCATCAGCAGGCTCTAGGCCCTCAATAACAATATCAGTGACTCCAGGAATGGAAGAATTTGCAAAATTCAGCAGCAAAGTGCCAGGCAGGGTGTCCTCTGTTATTGGGATAACAGGTGGCATATCCCCACAAACAGAAGGTTCGGCATCTGCAAATTAATACCAAAATATTCATATTTTAAAGTTTAATGATTTTACAGTTTAATAATTGTTTACAATCCGAGTGAGACCAGAAAGCAATTTTCATGTTTGTTTAAGGGAGTTGCGCACGTGCGCAATCGTCTCAATTCCATGGCCCAGTATCTCGAAAAAGAAACGGTTATGGAATCAAGACACTTGCGCACGCGCACAAGCGTCTCGATTCCATGGCCCCGTATCTTGAAATAGAATCGGTTATGGAATCGAGACACTTGCGCACGTGCGCAACATAGCGAACCTTTCGAGATACGGAGCCCAGTAGCCAGCTATTTCAAAGGGGGTTCTTTTTCTGAAAGTGGACCTTTTTACCATGAAACCTATATGTGCTATATTTTCATGTTTTCATAAAAAACAAATAAAAACAAGCCCTGGCAAATTCCAAATTATTTTAAGTATATGGAAAAGATGTTAAAATTACAACCCTTGATGAATAGAGGAACACAAAGAAAAAAAGGCCTATAATTTCAGACATGCTGAAAATTGCCGGACACCGGCCCTTGACCCACCAATCAGGCAGTCGGGCCGACAATATTCTTAAAATTTTAGTGATTGTCGGCCCAAATTGGCCAGCAATAATTTCTGACTCACCTAGTGAAACTTTCTTACGAAATATTTTATTTCTCAAACTTTGTAATCTTATCCGAAATAAAAAAATTAAAGAAGCCATTATCATTCTTTACTCACTAAAAAACGATGGGGGCAGCCATTTTCAATAGGAACGCAGTATAAAGTAAGCACCCAGCATTTACTATCTGTCAGCTGATTGGTCATAATTGAGGCACAGAAAACATGTGGCGTGCAATTTGTGTGAGGGTGATTAGTGGTTTTTTTTTTTATCTGCATTGTCATTTTCTGAACATTTGTATAAGCTACGAAATATTTCTCATCCCAGCAGCTTTCCAAGTACAAGTGAGTGACGTCACAACGCACTTCCGGTTATCGTCGAGATCTTGAAGGGATTAGCCTTACGGTTTGCTGCACATTTAAAGCGTTTTATCTCAAAATATACGCAACTGCTTGGATTGAAATTTACAACACTTATTCTTCACATAATATCACACTTATGTATGTAATTTGAGAGCTTTAGCTATCATATGTTTTCTACAATGCCCATTCAAATTAGAAAAAGAGCTATTTTCCGTCGATTTCTTAAGGGCAAGTCTATGATTTCTTATAAAAGTAATAAACTTATTCCTCAACCATAAGAGTTACATAAATACCATAATTTGTTTGAAAATTCAATTTAATGTTAAGCTCTATGTAATGCAAGTTAAAGTAAAGTGTAGGTTGGGATAATTTAACATTTTTTCTTAAGCTGCTGTAAGAAACTCAAAACTTGGAAAAGTGCTCTTGGGTAGTTTAGATGGATGATTTATCTCAAGTAAGGTCTGGTTTAAGGTTAGTCCAGGAAAATTGCAGTTTACCTCTGGAAAATTTGCTTTCTGTGAGTTTTGATGCCTTTTCGGCCCTGTTTACCTTAAAGTCATATTACCCAGATGTTATCTGAGCAGTAAAATGTCTCTTCAATAAAAGATCTGTTCAAAGATGCAGTTATTTGATTTTTATTTCCGTAATTGCTACTCAACTGTCCTTTTAAAGTGTATAAGGCAGCAGATAAAAGTGCACAATTTTTATGCAAAATAGGGTAATATACAAATTAATGCAAAAAACATTCGGGCCGGCAATATCTTGTCTGGGCCTGCAATATTCAGATCTAAGCAGGCCAATTGGCCTGCATTGCCCTCAGAGTTTTCAGCATGTCTGTAATTTTCAAAATCAGGAAAAGAATTCTAGCTCTAATAGAACAACATTTACACATTACCAAAATTTGTAATAAAATGTTGCCATTAACAGTGTCCTTTCCTTCCATTTTGAATGAACATGATAATGACACAGAGCATCACACAACAGCACCTATTATAAAAAACTGCTTAGGTGTATTGGAAAGTAAATGAGTATAAGTGTTTCATTAAATCTACAAAATCTACACAATGAAGGAAAAAGTAAGAAATTACAAAAGAGGTATCAAAAGTCGTACAAGCGCTGCTTCCATACACATTAAACAATTAATAATACAAAATGAAAACTGGCACCATAATTAAGAAAAAAGACTGGTCACTAACCATATGACCAGTGGATAATTTCAGATACTTTTCAAGTTAAAAATAAATAAAATTTCATCCCTGTTCTATAAGATTATTCCCACAAGTATACTCAGAGCATCACACAAAGTGTCAACCACAGGGATTAAATAGCAAAATGCTTTGTGCATCATGATAAAAATGTATAATAAATATCAACCTAAAACAAGGAGAAACCCCAGTGCATTCAAATACAATTAGAAAATGGATAAATCAAGCAGAGTTTTAAAAACTGGATTTTATCTGATAATTTGAGAAGAGACAATGGTTATTGAGCAGCTGTATTAAATTCTATACAGGATAAGTGTGCAAAATACAAATATGTAACTACATACTTTGACACTTTTACAAATAAAAGAGAAAGGAGAAAACTAAGTAACTGCAGAATTTATAACAAATGTCACTGCAGTATGAAGCAATGTGCAGCAACAATTTATACATAAAACTAAAATTGCACCATAGACCACAACTGGAGACCCACAGAAAAAGTGGTGAACCAACTACATTGACTTTTTTCATATTCTTTTGGACAGTTTTCCTGACATTCATGTGGATAATTTTCATAATACAAAATTCTAGGCCGCATTCACATCGAGAAGAGCAAGGCTCTACAAAGTCAAGACCTTAACATGGTGGCCGTACATGAAAGGAAAACCGCCTAATCTTTTAATAGTCTATCCGCCTCTCACACACCTACCCATGCTTCGTCCCTGCGGGGGTAAGTCATTAAACCTCGGTTCCATTGGAATGACGCATGGGGAGGCGTGTGAGAGACCATTAAAGGATTAGAAGGTTTTCCTTTCATGTACGTCCGCCATATTTTGGTCTCGGCCTTATTGAGCCTTAGCTCTTCTCGATGTGAATGTGGCCATAGACCATGGTGGAAGTGACTTCAAAAGACTCAGATGTGGTGTATCTTGCATAACAACGTCTCACATGAATGCATTATAACCCGCTTATGGACTGTGGTCTAAATAAGATAGATCCCTCATCAGTAATGGTTATGTGACATCCACTCGTGCTACACACCCATGTATGCCACATAACCCTCGCTGACTCAGGGTGTATCTATTACCCTCCGAACTCCCCACCCCCCACCCACCCCAACCCCCCCGGCAACAGGCCTGCAACGGATCATATATCCCTACAAAGAGTTGGTATTGAACGTCATCAACTTCATTCCAAAGTAATTATTATATAACAGGATTATCAATCAAAAATATTACTTTCAGTAAAGACAAGTATATGAGGCATATTTTTTTGACATTAGATTACTTTTGCACAAAAACACAATATAAAAAGTTTAGTCTTGACAAGGCAAGGGAAATGAACTTATGTCAATTGAACTTATGACAATTATGTAGCTTGTGTACAAACATTTATTCTAAACCTATTGCCAGAAAATATAAAATAAGCTACAAAAATTAGCAACAATAGATGAATATCTGACCAAAAATAAAAATTGGGCCATCTTCAAAAATGTTGTTTCACTTCACACTGAAGATTGCCACTTTTTAATTAGGCCACACTTTTTTATTTTTATGGATGACTTCCTGCGCGCGCACCGATTTTCGTCCGTTCTCCAAAAAAAAAAAAAAAAAAATCCCCCCCTCCCCCCCCCATCGAAGTCAGTTGTCGCAAACGTCGTTATTGAATTTGCCGGAAAATGTGCTTTCTGCGCATGCGTATTACTGCCATGTGGAAATATGGCCGCTTTGCCATCAAATTCATCTCTAGGATTACTTTCAAATTACAGGACAATTAATTATATAAAGTCATAAAGAGAACGGGGCCGTCGTTTAGGATTGTTATGTCATTGATATTGGGCATGGAGATATCCAATTTTTTACAATTATGCGAAAGCTGGCGGCGGCCAGCAATTATCGCCCGGAAAATTTCAGTGATATTCTGTCCAAAGCAACACAAACCAGGTTTTTTTGTAGCGAAAAAAAAAAGGGTCGACAGGGCGTCGAGGTATTTGGTGGGCTGTAGGTCGGTCAGGTCACCCGACAGTTTGGGTGCTTCATGTGAGTCGAAGTAGACCAAATGGCATTGACCGAAATGACCTTTTATAAAATTGGTAGTATTAAGCATATCTTTGCATCATTTTTTCCATAAAAACTTAATGTATCTAGATCAAATTTTACCCAGAGTGGACATTTATCCAGCAAAAGGGGTGGTTCTTTCTAACCCCCTGGCTACGGGCCCGTCTATTCATGACTTTTTTTTTTTTTTACCTTTCTACGAAGTATTGACAATGCTTTAATATTTTGAGAGCATGGATAAAGACATATTGTTAGTTTGGTACGTGTTTCTGTGGTAAATTTGTGTTTCCAGCTGTGTACTGACAGCATTCCTTTACTTATGCAGCATTTTTTTTTTGGACTGTTTTTTTTTTTCGCCATCTCGCACCGATTTCGGGGTCCCAAGAGGATGTGATCCATAAAAATAAAAAGTGTGGCCTAAGATATGTATAGGGCATCAAACTGAAGCTCATTGTTTCAAGTTTCACAGAGATGTATCATCGTTGCTCATTCTAGCACCATAAATGGCTACCATCCTTTAAAATGAATAATGTGCACCCGGGGCTAGTTGGCCCCCTTGACTCGGGGCAAGTTGGACCCTCATATTACCCACAAACCTTTGCGCGCAACGCTGTTTGAAATAAACAAGTTGGTGAAATTGACAAAGCTTGCCGGTGTCTATTACCGTCTGATTGATTTTTTAAATTTTCTCTCTGGTGTCTTTTTGAGAATTTATATTAGAAATATTCTGTTGATTGTAAGTATTAAAAAGCAAATCCATTGGACTTTCCGTAGAAAAAAACATTTATTTTGCCTTAATTCATTGTAAGGGGATTCCCTTTGTATTTATAGTGTTATATGTGGCCCCAAGGGGATTTTCCANACTATACGAATGACTTACCTGAGTGTCCAAAATGTCCAACCACTAACAGCAGGATCAGAACAATGCTTTGCCCCATAATATTCTTCATCTTAATTATCCTTGTTCATCAAAATATTGTCAGTGCAGGTTAGTCATCTTTCTCCTTATTCATACTCTAACTTTAGGATATCATGTTTCTGCTACTATCTGAAAAAAGAGAAATAAATTTATAATACTTATTATTAAAAAGAGTTAACTTTTTGATCAGCAAGACCACAATTCATATTTTTTTCACTGACCAGGAATGGAGAGCTTATGCTAAGTAAGTTACTTTCAGTACACTACTAGAACTCAGTATGAAAAATCTTAACATAGATTTTTAGAGTCACAAGCTCATTATTATCAATGAAAGATTTTTAGTAACATTTAATTTAAACAGGCATACAAATTAAAGTAGTTTTAGATGGACATTTTTCACAAAAACAACACTTTTACAGCATCAAACACTCTAAATAAACAAGATCTACAGTATTTCAAATTTAACGTCTATCATGCGCCTACTAGTAAGTATGTAGAAATTAAGAACTAAAAATCACATTTACATCCTGCGATTGTTACATACTTTGCATGTCACGTGACTCAGATACTAGCATATGAATGAACGGGTGGGAAGTAGTGTGGAAAAACTGCTCAACCTACTTTCCATCAGTGAAGACTGAGAGAGCAGGCATACCATGTTGACTGTACTAATTTAACAAGTCAATACAGTGGACAATGCAAAGAAAAAACTTTTAAGCACACAAGAGGGATATAAAGAAGGAGTATGACACAAAACTTGCACGAATAAAAGTAGGATTTTAACAGAGAGGGCGATGGCATGTCAACAGAGGTTAAATAGAGGATCTGAGAGGCGATACCGCCTTCGGATATTGTACCACCAGCTGGAGTAACAGCATTCCTTTGGAAACCCCCCACCCCAAAAAAAAAAGAAAAGGGACACCACCACCAGTCATGTGCTTGACAAGCTCTATAAAATGCAATAAACAAGAGTTCTCAAAATATGCAAAAAAAAAAAAAAAAAATGCAATACAAAAACATAACGGTAAAAAATGGTCCAATCAACCAGATTTTCGAATTGACCTGTATTTTCCTAACATTGATCACTCCTGTGATTTTCAAGACAATATACCTATTGGTTTTCCTCAAAATGTGTTATCAGTGTTGCACATGTGCTGACAAAAGAGAAAACGTAAGGGCAACACTGGGCATATCTCTGCTAGTTTTGAAGATATGAAGGGCAAGAAAACATGCAATGTTCAGTTCATGGTGAAAAAGTAGGTCAAAGGTCAATTTCAAGGTCACAGTATATGACTTCCTTTTCAACTTCTATAGTAATTTGGGGTTTTTCTTTACCAATTTTGGAGATATAAAGGGCAGAAAACATGCAAAGTACAGTTCACCATAAAAAGTTCAGTTCATGGTAAAAAAGTAGGTCAAAGGTTAATTTCAAGGTCACGATATATGACTTGCTAATCAAGTTCTATAGTAACTATGACATTTCTTTGCCCTTTTTGGTGACATAAAGGGCAGAAACACGCAAAGTACAGTTTATCATNGATCACGATATTACGCATTCCAGGCTTTCAAAAGAGCTTCTTTGTTCGCCGTCACCCACTGCTCAAGGGTCGCCATCTTTTGGTTTAGACGCTTACATTCTTCTGGATTCCTGTCGATTCCACATTGGTAGAACCGAAACATGTCGGCCAACAGAACGGCACCGGGAAAACCAAACCCAGCCATCTGTTCAGCTGTCATCTACAAGATAAATAAATGAAAGAATGGATGCATATGTAAATAAATAGATTAGAATAAACAAGGCAGAAAAGCTGTCAAATGTACAGACAAAAAGCTGAAAATGACAATGCACAAAATAGGCTACTGTCAGTTCTGATGCAAAAGTATATTATGCTTAACAGCATATTCAACATATTCAAATTTTAATTATGCTCAACAGGTAATACCAATGTAAGTAAAATGTGTAACAAGCATAAGGCTTCAGGCCCATGGAATTTCAAATTCACACTTTGAAAATGCCAGAATGAGAAAAATGAAAATTTCACACAAAATTGCATAAATTCAATGATAAATGATAACCCAATTGAGCTGGCTTTCTAATTTGAACTGCATGCCAATCTTAAAAATCATGATTATAAGTTAAAAATAATAATAAGTAACACATTTTTCTTTTCATAATGTTTGTAGTAGCAGTGCAAGAAGATTTTTGTCAATTTTGATGTAACAGTACATAATAAATTACAGAATAATTATCACCAATTTTTGATTATTGACTATAAATAGCATGGACATGCAGAAAATTTGATTACCATTCGGATTCATGTCCATGGAAGCTCTGAGTTCCACAATGAATATGCCAACAGGATAAAAATGAATATTTGATTAAAATGTATAACTCCCAGAAAAAGAAGCCAATTAGACTGCTTTTCCAACTCGGGCTGCATTTTAGTACTGTGTTTCCTTTTTAAAAGTTTGACAATCATAAGTAACATGGTTTTCCCAAAATGGTAATCATGGCAGCAGCACCCAAAATTGTGTTTTCTTCTATTTTGAAGCAACATTACATAATGCTTAACAGCATATATGACCATCAATTTTTATTTAATAGAATATTAGTAACATGGACTTTCAGAAAACATGACAAGCAAAGGTCTTCAGGATCATGGAACTTCAAAGTCACACCTTGAAAATGCCAATAAGTGAAAAATTAAATTTTCACAAAAAAACTGTTTAACTGCCAGAGAAATTTACCAAACAGACTGCATTGCCTACTGAAGTTATATTTTAGTCCCATGTTTCTTTTCTGTAAGTTTGAGAACAGTAAGTGACATGGTTTTCCTTAAATGGTCATCATGGGAGCAGTGCCCAAAATAGGGGTTTCTTCAAATTTTGATGCAACATTACATAATGTTTAACAGCATAATGACCATCAATTTTTAATAATAAAATATTAGTATCATGGATATTCAGATAATGTGACTAGCATATGTCTTCAGGCCCATGGAACTTCGAAGTCACACCTTAAAAATGCCAAAATGTAAGCAAGACAGCACTGTTCTGAAATGGTTCCCCATTTTCCCCATTTTTAACAATTTTTTAACATAAAACAAAATTACCAGTTTACTGCCATTTTTATATGATCAACTAAGAAAATTGATGAGATGGGAAAAATATCACTATAACAGTGTTAAATGTCCAATTTCCTCCATTCTGAGATTCTGAACACAGTGAATGATTGAATCTGACAAACCGCAATGATATGAGTTTATTTCCATTTTTGAAAGTTTATTACACAATACACGATGACAAGTTTACCATCATTTTTACATAATCAACTAACAATGTTGAAAAGATGCAGGAAATGTCAAACAAACACTTTTACGTGTCTTATTAGTTAAATAATGAGACTGTTAACAGCCTAAGAATTGAATCTGAGGAAATGTGAAAAAAACAGCATAACTTCTAAAATAATGGCCTGATTATGCTAATTTTCGAACTCAACCTGTGTTTTAGTAAGATTGACTAATCCTGTGAGTTTAATGACAATTGGCTTAGGCCTATCTGTTTTTCTTATATTGTGTTTATAGTGTTGCATATATGCTGAAAAGTGAAAAAACAGCATAACTGCTAAAATAGTGGCCCGATCATGCTGATTTTCGAACTTGACCTGCGTTTTATGAATATTCATCAGCTCTGTAAATATAAAGCCAAAAAGTAAAACTGTCTTCCACTTATCATGTTTACGCTGAAAGTGCACGGCGACGACAGGCACATGTGATGGCAATATGTACAGACACATCTGAAAAGGTTGGATGCAGCTAAAATTGCTGCATCCAACCTTTTCACCAAATGCATAAAGGCAAGCTTTATTAGAAAAACACGTTCTGTCAAATGAATGCGTTAGAATAACGTGTTTGTACAGTAATTATTTCAGTTGACTCTGTTTACGAGCTTATCAGAATGACCTCTAGAAATGTAATATTGCGGCAAATAACCCTCGAGAAGGGCTGTTACCTTGGGATTAACGACAGTGACTCCCAGAATCTTGCTGAACATGTCGCAGTATTGGTCTATGGTGTATATCCAGCTGGCGAGCCCCAGAGACTTCCCGGTCCACTCCCCGGGGTTGTTGAACAGTTGATGGATACACTCCCCTGCGTCTGTGCACACCATCATGTAGAATGGAACATCTCCCATTGGTATCCCTGACGGGAAAATGAACTTAAAGATCTGAATAACTGGTTCACAGAAAAAGTGTGGCATAGAATTTTAGTCTTTTACCAAAAGACGGCGCCACAAAGACTCTCAAACACGTGGTGCTTTTCTATTGAAAGATGTCGATTCTACCCCAGTGCTTGGTACAGTATGAAATAAAAATAGCACATTGAGTAATTTCATGCATTAAACGTGGAATGAGACAAAGGAACTGATTGCAATTTTAAAACCATGCGCACGGGCCAGCCTAATATATATATTATAAGTGAGATATTATATATCTCACTGTCATTCTAAGTATGCTTGGCATTTTATGTGTTTAAGACTTATCAGAATTAATGTTATTTTGTCACCAATATTATTATTTCTAAGAAAAGTGCACAAACAAAATAACAACCGATGGCCTCCTCTGCCATTCTCTTTATAAATGCAACTGCGAATGCAAAGAACTCTTCTTATCGTTGACAGTGCCTTCCGTTAGTTGACGTCAATTTTGGTTAAATAACGTTTGAAGCAGCTGGCTTACCCAAAGCAAAATGTCCGTCCTGTGTCTTTTGGGGTTTCATCATACCGAAAAGGTTCTCGGCGTAGAAAGCATACCGCACAACCGTTTGGGGAATTCCTGTAAATAATAATAAAAAATACTTAGACCGCATTCATATCGAGTTGAGACATGGATCTACAAAGTCACGAACTAAATATGGCGGACGTACATGAAAGGAAAACCGTCTAATCTTTTTTTAAAATAGTCTCCCCGCCTCTCACACGCCTCCCCATGTGTCAACCCAATGGAGCCGAGATTTAATGACTGTACCCCCGCAGGGGGTTAAATTAGCTATTAAGTTAGTTCTGTCTCTCAAGTCTATACGAAAACTACTGAACTAATACTGGCAACGGAAATCCACCAAGATAAAATAAAACAACGTCACTACTAGTAGGGAACGTACTAGAACCGGCGAGTGCTGGGTTCGGCTTTTTGGCAATAAGGCTGAAACTTGCTGTGTTGGGAATATCTTTTTAGAAAACAATACAAAAGTCAAACGCAAAACATATTGACAACGAACTGTCGTGAATTTGACTGTAATTCGATAGAACTTAAAGGCAACCATCCAAAAAATATGCATGGATAAATTTGCCAATTTTTATTCGTTTTCGCATCGCAACCGCTAGCCTGCTACATGTATTATATTTGATCCAATTCTCTCCAATTCGGTGAATCCTAGAGGATTTGACGCAAGGCGCGAGACGTAGCGACAAATAATGTATTCTGGTTCCCTGTTAGCCAGCTTTATTTCTTGAGATGCAGAAAACTAGAGCACACCCTGCAATGGTGTTGCAGCAAAAAAGAACCATAGCCAAAAATCCGGTTTGTACTTTAAGATCAAACATTAGTTCTGCCTCGGATTAACATGAATTGATAACAGTCCACTAGAAAAAAACGTCCTGGTCTGATCCAACACTTCTTTTGTGGTATAAAAATAATCGCAGCATTTCATTACTAGAGATTTGGGTAAAAGTAGACTACATGTACAGTCCACAATTGACTACAGACTACCATACGGCCCCAGGCAACAAACAAAAATACGGGCCCTGGGAGCGATCTTTTCAGCAAGTTCTACATATTTCGCGCTTGTCAAGCTAGTCAAGTAAATCAGTTACTTTCTCTCAATGCCTTTATGTTCCTACTGAAAACCTTGTCTCGCTGCAAATGGCATTACAGATACAGAGTAGCAAGATATGACGTTAGGTCAATGTTAACGTAACTTGTCGAATTCGGACCTTACCGTACATGTAATGAGTCACGTCTTGCCAATGATCAATCAAACCGTGGACCAACAGCGGGCAAATAAGACTCCGTTCACATGAAAAATCTATTTTCTAAAAATCTATTTTCTATTCGCGGTATCTTGTGATCACTCCGAGCGCAGCCGAGAATTAATTACAACTTTGGAAGTAACTGGCTCGCGCTGCCAGTAATAACGCCGCGGGGTATTCAGGGCACAGACGTTGATCACAAGATACTGCGAAGAGAAAATAGATTTTTAGAAAATCTATTTTCATGTGAACGAAGCCTAACACACACCCCTGTACCGTTGGCCGACGTCGGACCACTGCTGTCTTGCTATATTCATGTTCTATTATATGTAGCATCTTCGAAAAATTCGAAAATGTGTATTCACCTTTTGCTTTTATATATTCCTCAACAGCCGCTTTCCCGTCAAAGTTTGCCAAGGGAATACCCTTCAGTTTCTCTGATGGCTCCATGCCGCTGTAAACAAGGTGCTTCACACCACAGTCTGCGCATGCGTCGGCAATGTTTTTGCCCTGGTTACAAACAATAGATAGATATGGGCAGCGATTTTGTAAGTACTGGTAAGCATGTAAAACAGAATAACATATATTTCTAAACAAAATGGATAAGTATACTTATTAATTTTTATATTTACGTCAGGCCCGTAGCCAGCAATTTGAAAGGGGGGGGTCTTTTTCTGAAAAAGTGGACCTTTTACCATATAATCCCCATGTACCTAGGTCAAATTTTACCCAGAGTGGACCTTTTTCCAACAAAAAGGGGGGTTCTTTCGAACCCCCCGAACCCCCCCCCTCCCCGGCTACGTGCCTGTACGTACAGGTGGCTTTTACACCCACAGAGATAGATCTGACGTCATGTGCAATCTTTCTTAATGGATGCTAGAGTGTATTTAAATAATTAGCTGACGCCAGGGATGATAAGTTGAATCCTGTTGCTCATACCTGTTGAATTTCTTTTTCTTTATCATGGTACTCCCAGTAGTTGGTGACAGCAAAGCAGCCATAGGCACCGCTCAGAGCCGANATCTTTGCATGAATGAGGCGACCCAAGCTGAGGTGAAGTGTGCCAAATGGGTTTACAAAACACTTGAATGCGCGCGTTAAGAAAGAAAACTACTCGCGCCTATCGTCGAACAGCGGCAAGCGTATTGTAGTAAACTGGTAGAGCTTACATGCAAAACAAATTGCATAAAGGGAAAAATGTATTTATGAAAGGAGTGCTTTTTGGTATAGATAAAGTACGAGGCGCTGAGCTTTACGAGAAATAGAGCAGATATTGGCGAGGCGAAGCCGAGTTATCGTTGTACATATGTACTCTGTACTTACGCGAGCTGACTTGTCCGCCATCTTTGCATGAATGAGGCGACCCAAGCTGAGGTGAAGTGTGCCAAATGGGTTTACAAAACACTTGAATGCGCGCGTTAAGAAAGAAAACTACTCGCGCCTATCGTCGAACAGCGGCAAGCGTATTGTAGTAAACTGGTAGAGCTTACATGCAAAACAAATTGCATAAAGGGAAAAATGTATTTATGAAAGGAGTGCTTTTTGGTATAGATAAAGTACGAGGCGCTGAGCTTTACGAGAAATAGAGCAGATATTGGCGAGGCGAAGCCGAGTTATCGTTGTACATATGTACTCTGTACTTACGCGAGCTGACTTGTCCGCCATCTTTGCATGAATGAGGCGACCCAAGCTGAGGTGAAGTGTGCCAAATGGGTTTACAAAACACTTGAATGCGCGCGTTAAGAAAGAAAACTACTCGCGCCTATCGTCGAACAGCGGCAAGCGTATTGTAGTAAACTGGTAGAGCTTACATGCAAAACAAATTGCATAAAGGGAAAAATGTATTTATGAAAGGAGTGCTTTTTGGTATAGATAAAGTACGAGGCGCTGAGCTTTACGAGAAATAGAGCAGATATTGGCGAGGCGAAGCCGAGTTATCGTTGTACATATGTACTCTGTACTTACGCGAGCTGACTTGTCCGCCATCTTTGCATGAATGAGGCGACCCAAGCTGAGGTGAAGTGTGCCAAATGGGTTTACAAAACACTTGAATGCGCGCGTTAAGAAAGAAAACTACTCGCGCCTATCGTCGAACAGCGGCAAGCGTATTGTAGTAAACTGGTAGAGCTTACATGCAAAACAAATTGCATAAAGGGAAAAATGTATTTATGAAAGGAGTGCTTTTTGGTATAGATAAAGTACGAGGCGCTGAGCTTTACGAGAAATAGAGCAGATATTGGCGAGGCGAAGCCGAGTTATCGTTGTACATATGTACTCTGTACTTACGCGAGCTGACTTGTCCGCCATCTTTGCATGAATGAGGCGACCCAAGCTGAGGTGAAGTGTGCCAAATGGGTTTACAAAACACTTGAATGCGCGCGTTAAGAAAGAAAACTACTCGCGCCTATCGTCGAACAGCGGCAAGCGTATTGTAGTAAACTGGTAGAGCTTACATGCAAAACAAATTGCATAAAGGGAAAAATGTATTTATGAAAGGAGTGCTTTTTGGTATAGATAAAGTACGAGGCGCTGAGCTTTACGAGAAATAGAGCAGATATTGGCGAGGCGAAGCCGAGTTATCGTTGTACATATGTACTCTGTACTTACGCGAGCTGACTTGTCCGCCATCTTTGCATGAATGAGGCGACCCAAGCTGAGGTGAAGTGTGCCAAATGGGTTTACAAAACACTTGAATGCGCGCGTTAAGAAAGAAAACTACTCGCGCCTATCGTCGAACAGCGGCAAGCGTATTGTAGTAAACTGGTAGAGCTTACATGCAAAACAAATTGCATAAAGGGAAAAATGTATTTATGAAAGGAGTGCTTTTTGGTATAGATAAAGTACGAGGCGCTGAGCTTTACGAGAAATAGAGCAGATATTGGCGAGGCGAAGCCGAGTTATCGTTGTACATATGTACTCTGTACTTACGCGAGCTGACTTGTCCGCCATCTTTGCATGAATGAGGCGACCCAAGCTGAGGTGAAGTGTGCCAAATGGGTTTACAAAACACTTGAATGCGCGCGTTAAGAAAGAAAACTACTCGCGCCTATCGTCGAACAGCGGCAAGCGTATTGTAGTAAACTGGTAGAGCTTACATGCAAAACAAATTGCATAAAGGGAAAAATGTATTTATGAAAGGAGTGCTTTTTGGTATAGATAAAGTACGAGGCGCTGAGCTTTACGAGAAATAGAGCAGATATTGGCGAGGCGAAGCCGAGTTATCGTTGTACATATGTACTCTGTACTTACGCGAGCTGACTTGTCCGCCATCTTTGCATGAATGAGGCGACCCAAGCTGAGGTGAAGTGTGCCAAATGGGTTTACAAAACACTTGAATGCGCGCGTTAAGAAAGAAAACTACTCGCGCCTATCGTCGAACAGCGGCAAGCGTATTGTAGTAAACTGGTAGAGCTTACATGCAAAACAAATTGCATAAAGGGAAAAATGTATTTATGAAAGGAGTGCTTTTTGGTATAGATAAAGTACGAGGCGCTGAGCTTTACGAGAAATAGAGCAGATATTGGCGAGGCGAAGCCGAGTTATCGTTGTACATATGTACTCTGTACTTACGCGAGCTGACTTGTCCGCCATCTTTGCATGAATGAGGCGACCCAAGCTGAGGTGAAGTGTGCCAAATGGGTTTACAAAACACTTGAATGCGCGCGTTAAGAAAGAAAACTACTCGCGCCTATCGTCGAACAGCGGCAAGCGTATTGTAGTAAACTGGTAGAGCTTACATGCAAAACAAATTGCATAAAGGGAAAAATGTATTTATGAAAGGAGTGCTTTTTGGTATAGATAAAGTACGAGGCGCTGAGCTTTACGAGAAATAGAGCAGATATTGGCGAGGCGAAGCCGAGTTATCGTTGTACATATGTACTCTGTACTTACGCGAGCTGACTTGTCCGCCATCTTTGCATGAATGAGGCGACCCAAGCTGAGGTGAAGTGTGCCAAATGGGTTTACAAAACACTTGAATGCGCGCGTTAAGAAAGAAAACTACTCGCGCCTATCGTCGAACAGCGGCAAGCGTATTGTAGTAAACTGGTAGAGCTTACATGCAAAACAAATTGCATAAAGGGAAAAATGTATTTATGAAAGGAGTGCTTTTTGGTATAGATAAAGTACGAGGCGCTGAGCTTTACGAGAAATAGAGCAGATATTGGCGAGGCGAAGCCGAGTTATCGTTGTACATATGTACTCTGTACTTACGCGAGCTGACTTGTCCGCCATCTTTGCATGAATGAGGCGACCCAAGCTGAGGTGAAGTGTGCCAAATGGGTTTACAAAACACTTGAATGCGCGCGTTAAGAAAGAAAACTACTCGCGCCTATCGTCGAACAGCGGCAAGCGTATTGTAGTAAACTGGTAGAGCTTACATGCAAAACAAATTGCATAAAGGGAAAAATGTATTTATGAAAGGAGTGCTTTTTGGTATAGATAAAGTACGAGGCGCTGAGCTTTACGAGAAATAGAGCAGATATTGGCGAGGCGAAGCCGAGTTATCGTTGTACATATGTACTCTGTACTTACGCGAGCTGACTTGTCCGCCATCTTTGCATGAATGAGGCGACCCAAGCTGAGGTGAAGTGTGCCAAATGGGTTTACAAAACACTTGAATGCGCGCGTTAAGAAAGAAAACTACTCGCGCCTATCGTCGAACAGCGGCAAGCGTATTGTAGTAAACTGGTAGAGCTTACATGCAAAACAAATTGCATAAAGGGAAAAATGTATTTATGAAAGGAGTGCTTTTTGGTATAGATAAAGTACGAGGCGCTGAGCTTTACGAGAAATAGAGCAGATATTGGCGAGGCGAAGCCGAGTTATCGTTGTACATATGTACTCTGTACTTACGCGAGCTGACTTGTCCGCCATCTTTGCATGAATGAGGCGACCCAAGCTGAGGTGAAGTGTGCCAAATGGGTTTACAAAACACTTGAATGCGCGCGTTAAGAAAGAAAACTACTCGCGCCTATCGTCGAACAGCGGCAAGCGTATTGTAGAAAACTGGTAGAGCTTACATGCAAAACAAATTGCATAAAGGGAAAAATGTATTTATGAAAGGAGTGCTTTTTGGTATAGATAAAGTACGAGGCGCTGAGCTTTACGAGAAATAGAGCAGATATTGGCGAGGCGAAGCCGAGTTATCGTTGTACATATGTACTCTGTACTTACGCGAGCTGACTTGTCCGCCATCTTTGCATGAATGAGGCGACCCAAGCTGAGGTGAAGTGTGCCAAATGGGTTTACAAAACACTTGAATGCGCGCGTTAAGAAAGAAAACTACTCGCGCCTATCGTCGAACAGCGGCAAGCGTATTGTAGAAAACTGGTAGAGCTTACATGCAAAACAAATTGCATAAAGGGAAAAATGTATTTATGAAAGGAGTGCTTTTTTGTATAGATAAAGTACGAGGCGCTGAGCTTTACGAGAAATAGCTCAGCCCCGAGTGCTTTATCTGGCTTAAAGCACGAGTAATTAACCCTGTGCAATGGTGCGTGGAACGCATTCGTGGATGACGTGACTTAATACGAAATAAAGCACGGCGCGACCTATTGTCTTTTGACAGGAGAGTGCTTTAAATTACAGTTAAAGCTATCATCGCCATTTGCTTTCGGTAACGATGTTGCTTTACAGACCCAAAAATAGTGACAACGTCACACGTCCTGATCTATTTTCCCCCTTTCCCTGAGAGTAATAAGTCGGGTGGTTAACAGTCCGTATCAATGGCAAAAAATGATCAGTTATCTAAGTTTTAATTTGGACTTAATAATCTACATTAAAGCACTCTCCTGTCAAAAGACAATAGATCGCGCCGTGCTTTATTTTGTGTAAAGTCACGTCATCCACGAATGCGTTCCACGCACCAATGCACAGGGTTGATAACTCGTGCTTTAAGCCAGATAAAGCACTCGGCGCTGAGCTTTACGAGAAATAGAGCAGATAATTTGCGAAGCGAAGCTGTACTTTATCTATACCTTAAACATATCCAGAGTAGTCCAAAGCATAATCAGAGTAATGGCAAAGCTGAGAAAAGTGTTGAGATTGTCAAAAGAATGTTAAAGAAGACCAATGAATCTGGTAAAGATCCATATTTAGCGCTGTTGATTAATAGAACTACACCTTTGTCTGGTGAAAATAGTCCTTCAGAAATAATGATGGGAAGGAAAGTTAGAATTAGATTGCCAGATGTATAGATGTAATACAAAAATGTATAGTTGGCAAACAGTAACAGTAATCGAAGATTTAAAACAATTTGCATCGGCCGGGAATCGAACCCGGGCCGCCCGCGTGGCAGGCGAGCATTCTACCACTGAACCACCGATGCGTGATAACGTGCCATA